ACAGGACCTTTTCTTCATATAGCCATTATTTTCAAGAGCAGGAAACATAGCTGACTTTCCCAATACACAGAGAAACAGACAGAAAAAAAAAATGAGGAGACAGAGGAATGTGTCCCAAATGAAAGAATAGGACAAAACCACAGCAACAGACCAAAGTGAAATGCATATAAATAATATGCCTGGTAGAGAATTTAAAGTAATATTCAAAAAGATACTCATTGGACTTGAGAAAAGAGTGGAGGACAGCAATGAGACCATAAACAAAGAAATAAAAAAGAACCAATCAGAGATCAATACAATAAATGAAATTAAAAGTACACTAGATAGAATAAATAGCAGGGTAAAGGAAACAGAGGAACAAATTAGTGACCTAAAAGTCAGAATAATGGAAGTAATCAAGCTGAACAGGCAAGAAGAAAAATAATTATGTAAAATGAGAATAGACAGAGAATTCAGCAACTCCATCAAGTATTATAGGGATCTGGGAAGAAGAAGAGGGAGAAAAGGGGGCAGAAAATTTACTTGAAGAAATGATAGTGATGGGGAGGAGGAGCAAGATGGCGGAGGAGTAGGAGACCTAAATTTCATCTGTTCCCAGGAATTCAGCTAGATAGGTATCACACCATTCTGAACACCTACAAACCCAACAGGAGATCGAAGAAAAGAATAGCAGCAACTCTCTGAACAGAAAAACAACCACTTTCTGGAAGGTAGGACATGCAGAGAAGTGAATCTGAGGCCATATACGGGAAGACAGACCGCGGGGGGAGGGAGCCTCTGTCAGCAGCTTACCAGCAAGTGATAGAGCAGTGGAGCACAAAACCAGAACTTTTAGAAGTCTGCTCCGCTGAGGGACATCACTCCAGTGGCTAAGCGGGAGGTGGAACCCTCACTGGGACAGTGTGATCTCAGGACCCTCGGGGTTACAGAAAGACCAGGGGTGCCTGAGTGTGGCAGAGCTCCTAAGTATCAGAGCAGGGAAGCTGGCTGCAAAGACGGAGCCGAAGGGTGGGCTCTCAGCTTGGGGTTGTCATAAACCATGATCTGTGGCATAGTCGGGCCACTATTCTTTGAGCAAGGACCCAACAAGTGGCAGATCTGGGGAGACTCACCTTCCTCCCCCGGGAGGAGCAGTGCGGGAGCGCACCACAGGGATCTGCTGGGTTTGGAGACTCCACACCGAGTCGTGTGCCAGAGAAAGAAACACTCAGTCACAGGCTGGGTGAGCACGGAGTGCGGCCAGAGACTGGAAAGATTGCTTTTCTCTGGGGTGTACTGAGGAGTGGGGCCCCAGTTCTCGATTCCTCTGGGGTGGAGATTGGGAGGCCACCATTTTCACTCTCGTCCTCCAAAGCTCTAGGGAAAGCGGGCAGGGAACAAAACTCCCGAGAGCAAATCCAAGCAGATTACTTAGCCTGGCCATAGGCAAGGATGGTGCAATTTTGCCTCCAGCAAAGATATTTGAGAATCACTGCAACAGGCCCCTCCACCAGAAGATCATCAAAAACAGCCAGCCAAGACCAAGTTTACTGATCAATGAGAACGGCAGAACTACAGCACTAGGGGAATACAGCACATAGAATTCATAGCTTTTTCCCCCATGATTCTTTAGTCTTTCAAAGTTAATTTTTTTAATTTTCTTCATTTTTGTCTTTTTCTATATTGTTTTGAATTTTTTATTTTCCTTTTTTCAACCAACAACTTATCAATCCCTTTTTCTAAAGATCTTTTTTATTTTTCATTTTTAGAGTCATATTCTATCCCTTAATTGTAGTTAACCTGATTTTTTGTGTATATATAAGTTCTCTCTTTAAAATTTTGGGATACAGTTTCTTCTAACAGACCACAATATACCCTAAATCTCTAGTGTATGGCTTTGTTCTATTCTCCTACCTGATCACATTCTCTCCCCCCTTTTTTTTTTAATTTCTCTCCTTTCCTTTTCCAACCAAATTCTTATCTTATCAATTCCTTTTATAAAATCTTTTGTAATTTTCATCTTTTCATCATATTCCATCCCTTCATTGTATTTACCCTTATTTTTGTACATATATAAGTTTTTCTTTCTTTAAAATTCTGGGAGGCACTTTCTTCTAACAGACCAAAATATGCCCCAAACCTAGTGTGTGGCACTGATCTATTCACCAGCCTGATTATATTTGATCATATTCTTTTTTTTAAATATTTTATTGATTTATTTGACAGAGAGAGATACAGCGAGAGGAGAACACAAGCAGGGGGAGAGAGAGAGAGAAGCAGGCTTCCTGCCGAACAGGAAGCCCAATGTGGGGTTTGATCCCAGGACCCTGGGATCATGACCTGAGCTGAAGGCAGATGCCCAACGACTGAGCCACCGTCTTTTCTTCCTTTCTTTCTTTCTTTCTTTCCCCCGGTTTCAGGTCTCTTCTGATTTGTTTAGTGTATATTTTTCTCTGGGGTTGTTATTACTCTATTAGCATTTTTTTCTCTCATTCATCTATTCTCCTCTGGACAAAATGACAAGATGGAAAAACTCACCTCAAAAAAAAAGAACAAGAGGCAGTACTGACTGCCAGGGACCTGATCAATACAGACATTAGTAAGATGTTGGAACTAGAGTTCAGAATGACAATAATAAAGATACTAGCTGGACTTGAAAAAAGCATAGAAGAAACTACAGAATCCTTTCTGGAAAATAAAAGAACTAAAATTTAACCAAGTCAGAAACAAAAAGCCATTAATGAGGTGCAATAATAAACGGAGGCTCTAAGTGCTAGGATAAATGAGACCAAAGAGAGAATTAGTGATATAGAAGACCAAATCATGGAGAAAAAGAAGCTGAGAAAAAGAGAGATAAACAACTACTGGATCACGAAAGGAGAAGAGAGAGGGGGGCAGAAGGTATATTGGAGCAAATTATAGCGAAGAACTTCCCTAATTTGGGAAAGGAAACAGACATCAAAATCTAGGAGGCACAGAGAACCCCCTCAAAATCAATAAAAATAGGTCAACACCTTGACATCTAATAGTAAAACTCACAGGTCTCAGAGACAAAGAGAAAATTCTGAAAGCAGCTTGGGACAAGAGGCCTGTAACCTACAACAATAGAAACATTAGATTGGCAGCAGACCAATCCACAGAGACCTGGCAGGCCAGAAAGGACTGGCACAATATATTCAGAGCACTAAACGAGAAAAATATGCAGCCAAGAATACTATATACAGCTCGGCTGTTATTGAAAATAGAAGGAGAGATATAAAGCTTCCAGCACAAACAAAAACTAAAAGAATTTGCACACACCAAACCAGCCCTACAAGAAATATTGAAAGGGGTCCTCTAAGCAAAGAGAGAGCCTAAAAGTAACATAGACCAGACAGGAACAGAGACAATATACAAAAACGGTCACCTAATAGGCAATACAATGGGACTAAATTCATATCTTTCAATAGTTACCGTGAATGTAAATGGGCTAAACACCCCAATCAAAACACACAGACCCATTGATATGCTGCCTGCAAGAGACTCTCTTTAGACCCAAAGACACCCCCAATCCAAAGACACAGACCCATCGATATGCTGCCCACAAGAGATTCATTTTGGACCCAAAGATGCCTCCAGATTGAAAGTAAGGGGATAGAAAACCATTTACCATGCTAATGGATATCAAAAGAAAGCTGGGGTGGCAAACCTTATATCAGACAAATTAGATTTTAAACCAAAGACTATAATAAAAGATGAGGAAGGACACTATATCATACTTAAAGAGTATATCCAACAAGAAAATCTAACAATTGTAAATATCTATGCCTCTAACATGGGAGCAGCCAATTAATAACAAAATCAAAGAAACACATCAACAACAATACAATAAGTAGGGGACTTTAACAACACCCTCCCTGAAATAGACAGATCATCCAGGCAAAAGATCAACAAGGAAATAAAAGCTTTAGATGACACACTGGACTGGATGGACTTCACAGATATATTCAGAACATTCCATCCCAAAGCAACAGAATACACATTCATCTCTAGTGCCCATGGAACATTCTCCAGAATAGATAACATCCTAGGTCACAAATCAGGTCTCAACTGGTACCAAAGATTGGGATCATTCCCTGGGTATATTTAGACCACAACTTTGAAACTACAACTCAATTACAAGAGGAAAGTCAGAAAGAACTCAAATACATGGCGGCTAAAGAGCATCTACTAAAGAATAAATGGGTCAACCAGGAAATTAAGGAAGAATTTTAAAAATTCATGGAAACCAATGAAAATGAAAACACAACTGTTCAAAATCTTTGGGATGCTGCAAAGGTGGTCCTAAGAGGAAAATATATAGCAATACAAGCCTTTCTAAAGAAACAGGAAAGGTCTCAAATACACAACCTAACCCTATACCTAAAGAAGCCAGAGAAAGAACAGCAAATAAAGCCTAAACCCAGCAGGAGAAGAGAATTAATAAAAATCAGAGCAGAAATCAATGAAATAGAAACCAAAAGAATAGTAGAACAGATCAATGAAACTAGGAGCTAGTTCTTTGAAAGAATTAATAAGATTGATAAACTCCTGGCCAGACTTATCAAAAAGAAAAGAGAAATGACCCAAATAAATAAAATCATGAATGAAAGAGGAGAGATCACAACCAATGCCAAAGAAAGACAAAAAATTGTAAGAAAATATGAACATCTATATGCCAGTAAATTAGATAATCTGGAAGAAATGGATGCATTCCTAGAGATGTATCAACTACCAAAACTGAACCAGGAAGAAATAGAAAACCTGAACAGACCTGTAACCACTAAGGAAATTGAGGCAGTAAGCAAAAATCTCCCAACAAACAAGAGCCCAGGGCCAGATGGCTTCCCAGGGGTATTCTACCAAACATTTAAAGAAGAATTAATGCCTATTCTTCTGAAACTGTTCCAAAAAATAGAAATGGAAAAAATAGAAATACGAATACTAATAACAGACAAACTAGACTTTTTTTTTGACAGCTCATTATTTTTAATGTGCAATACTCAAGGTACAAGATAATGGCATCTAATATTGTTATCAATCAAAGAAATCAGCTCTGTCATCAGGGCTCCTGAATGAAGAACATCTTCATAACCTCCATGCTTATCTTTGTTTTCCATGTATAATTTGATAAGATCATCAATTTGAAGAATGGTAATTGAAGCTTCTGTCACAAATTTCAAACTCTTAACTTTCTCTATGGTTTGTTCAAATACCCCTGCTTGTTTGTTCTCTCGAGGTTTACCACTGACCAAATCAAGACCAATCCATTTGAGATATTTGCATTCTGGGTTAACTTGAGCCTCATTATGGAAAGCTCTTAACTTTGCAGTGAGATCTGTGGAGTTTGGAGCAGCATTAACTGCCAGTGTGTTAGGAATAATAAGAAAAGATCTTGCAAACTCCGCAATAGCAAGCTGTTTTTGAGACCCCATGCTGGTTGTTTAGTTTTCAAGGTATATGGAAGGGGCTGCTTCTATAGCATCCCCACGTGGAACCACGGATTTTGACTACAAAACTCTCTTCAAAACACAAAAAGCATCATGTAAATAGCTCCATCTCATCGCATGTAAAACCATTTGCCCCACATAAGATAACTGATGCAGATGTATAAGTCTTAGTGCTATTTTAAAAAATAAAGTGAAATTCTTAAATCAACATTTTTATAAAATCAGCCTATATAGAAATTCACCATAATCACCTTGACTGAATCCTGCTTACATGGTTCATTCAGACATAAAAGCAATATCTGGACTTCACAGAAGAGATGAAATTGTTACTCCAACTCCATTTACAACAGCCTAATATTGTTCTCTCCCATGTGTATAACTGCTTACTAAAAGACTAGAGCAGCAAATCAATGGAAAGGGACAAAATAAACTTTAACAAGAGACAGAGAAGGACACTATATAATAATAAGGGGGACAATCTAATAAGATATAACAATTGTAAATATATATGTACCCAGCATGAGAGCACCCAAATACATAAAGCAGTTAATGGCTAACATAAAAGAACTAATCAATAGTAATACAATAATAGTGGGGGACTTTAACATCTCACTTACATGAATGGATGTGAATTGATCATCCAAACCAAAAATCAACAAGGAAAGAGTGGCTTTGAATGACACATTGGACTAGATAGATTTAACAGGTATATTCAGGAAATTCCATCCTAAAACAGCAGAATACACATTCTTTTCAAGTGCAGATAAAACAATATCCAGAACATATCACATATTAAACCATGAAACAAGTTGCAACAAATTAAAAAATAGTGAAGTTATATTATGAGTCTTCTCTGACGACAACTCTATGAAACTAGAAATAAACCACAAGAAAAATCTGAAAATAGCACAAACACATTAAGGTTACATAACACACTAGTAAACAACAAATGGGTCAACCAAGAAATCAAAGAAGAAATCAAAAAGTACATGGAGAGAAATGAAAATGAAACTACATGGTCCTGAATCTTTGTGATACAGCCAAAGTTAAAGAGGGAAATTTTTAGCAACATAGGCTTACCTCAAAATGCAAGAAAAATCTCAAATAAACAACATAACCTTATACCTAAAGGGGCTAGAAAAAGAAGGACAAAACCCAAAACCAGCAGAAGGAAGGATGAGAGCAGGAATAAATGATATAGAATCTGTTTAGTTTCTTTCAGTTTTTTTTAAAACAAAACAAAACAAAACATAATAGAACAGATCAATGAGACCAGGAGCTGGTTCTTTGAAAAATCAACAAAATTGGGGTACCTGTGTGGCTCAGTTGGTTAAGTGTATGCCTTCAGCTCATGGGATTGAGCCCTACTTAGGACTCCTTGCTCAGTGGGGAGCCTCCTATGCTGCTCCCCCTGCTCATGCTCTCTCTGTCAGATAAACAAAATCTTAAAAAAAAAATCAAAAAAATTGATAAAACTTTACCAGATTCATCAGAGAGAGAGAGAGAACTCAAATAAACAAAACCACAAATGAAAGAGGAGAAATAACAACTGACACCATAAAAATACAAATGATTGTAAGAGAATGTTATTGAAAAATTATATGCCAATAAATTGGAAGACCTAGAAGAAATGGATAAATTCCTAGACACAGATAACCTAAAATAATGAAGTAAGAAGAAATAGACAATTTGAACAGACTGATTATCAGTAATGAAATTGAATCAGTAATCAAGAAACTCCCAACAAACAAAAGTCCAGGACCAGAGAGCTTCACAAGCAAACTCTACCAAATATTAAAAGAGTTAATACCTATTCTTCTCAAACTATCCCCAAAAATAGAAGAGAAAGGAAAACTTTCACATTCATTCTATGAGGCCAGCATTACCTGATAACAAAACCAGATAAAGACACCACAAAAAAAGAAAATGGACCAATATCTCTGATGAACATACACGCAACAATTCCCAACAAAATATTAGCAAACAGAATCCCAGAACACATTTAAAAAAAATCATTCACCACAATCAAGCGGAATTTATTCCCAGGACGCAAGTGTGGGTCAATATTTGCAAATCAATCAAGATGATACATCACATCAGTAAGATAAAGGATAAAAATCATATGATCATTTCAATAGATGCAGCAAAAGCATTTGACAAAGTACAACATCCATTCATGATAAAAATTTTCAACAAAGTAGGATTTAGAGGGAACATACTTCAACATAAAGAAGTCATACATGAAAAAAACCACACCTCAAGGTTTATAGCAGCAATGTCCATAATAGCCATACTATGGAAAGAGCCAAGATGTCCATCAACAGATGAATGGATGAAGCGAATGTGGTATACATACATAATGGAATATTATGCAGCCATGAAAAAAAAACCCGAAATCTTGCCATTTGCAATGAAGTGATGGAACAAGAGGGTATTATGCTAAGCTAAATAAGTCAATCAGAGAAAGACAAGTATCAAGATCTCACTGATATGAAGAATTCTTAATCTCAGGAAACAAACTGAGAGTTGCTGGAGTGGTGGGGGGTGGGAGGGATGGGGTGGCTGGGTGATAGATATTGGGGAGGGCATGTGCTATGGTGAGCACTGTGAATTGTGTAAGACTGATGAATCACAGACCTCTACCTCTGAAACAAATAATACATTATATGTAAAAAAAAAAAAAAAAAGATAGTAGGAAGGGAAAAATGAAGGGGGGGCATTCAGAGGGGGAGACGAACCATGAGAGACTATGGACTCTGAGAAACAAACTGAGGGTTCTAGAGGGGAGGGGGTGGGTTAGCTGGTGATGGGTGTTAAAGAGGCACATATTGAATGGAGCACTGGGTGTTATATGCAAACAATGAATCATGGAACACTACAGCAAAAACTAATGATGTAATGTATGGTGATTAACATAATAAAATAAAATAAAATAACCAAATCTAATATACTCAATAGTGAAAAAGTAAGAGCTTTTTCTCTAAGAGCAGGACTAAGACAAGGATGTCCATTCTCACCATTTTTATTCAACATAGTACTGGGAGGTCCTAGCCACAGCAATCAGACAACAAAAAGAAAAAAAGGCATACAAATTGGTAAGAAAGAAGTAAAACTTTTGGTATTTGAAGATGATATGATACTATATATATAAAAGTCCTAGAAGAGAGCACAAGGAGTAATTTCTCTGACACTGGCCTTAGCAACATTTTTTCTAGGTATGTCTCCTGAGGCAAGGGAAATACCTCCATTTGAAACAACATGGGTGGATCTAGAGAGTATAATGCTAAGTGAAATAAGAAAGACAAATACCATATGATTCCATTCATATGTGGAATTTAAGAAACAAAACAAACAAGGAGGGGAAAAAAAGAGAGAGAGAGAGACAAACCAAAAAAACACACTCTTAACTACAAAAAACAGATGGTTACCAGAGGGGAGGTGGGTGGGGGAATGGATGAAATAGGGGAAGGGGATTAATTGTACATTTATCTTGAAGTGCACTGAATAACATATGGAACTGTTGAATCAATATATTGTACACCTGAAACTAATACAACACTGTATGTTAACTATAGTGGAATTAAAACTAAATTTTAAAAAATAAATAAATAAAAATTAAGCTATGGAATAATTTACAGTATTATTTCATTTTTATTATACATAATTATTTTTAGGGCACCTGGGTGGCTAAGTTGGTTAAGCATCCGACTGTTGATTTTGATTCAGATCATAATCTCAGGATTGTGAGATCAAGCCCCACATTAGGCTCCCTGATGGGCATGGAGCCTGCTTCAGATTCTCTCTCTCTCTCTCTCTGCCCCTCCCCCCCTCAGAAAAATTATATATATGACTAGAAAAATGCTTGGAAGGTTATACTACAAAACACTAACTTTGGTTATCATTTGGTTATAGGATTACAGTTTACCTTTATTTTATTTATACATTTGTATTTTAAAAACATTCTTATAATGTCCAATTTTCATTTTTATATAAATAATATATTAATATTTTACTTAATAGATCAAAAATTATTCTAAAAGAAGTAGCACCTGGGCCTTAACATTTATAATACACAGGCCCTTCAAATTATATTGAGGTCCTTAGCAGGAATAATACAAAGTATAAGTTAATATTTTCTTATACTTAGAAACATGATATCAGTTCTTTGCTATATATGTATCAATGAATTTAAAACAGATAAGTGGATAAAGATGTGGTTCACATATACAATGGACTATTACTCAGCCATCAGAAAGGATGAATACCTACCGTTTGCATCGACATGGATGGAACTGGAGGGTATTATGCTAAATGAAGTAAGTCAAGCAGAGAAAGGCAACTATCATATGGTTTCACTCGTATGTGGAACATGAGGAATAGCGTGGAGGACCACTGAGGAAGGGAGGGAAAACTGAATGGGAAGAAATCAGAGAGGGAGAGAAACCCTGAGAGACTTTGGAATCCAGGAACCAAACTGGGGGTTACAGAAGGGAGAGGGGTGAGGGGATGGGGTAACTGGGTGATGGGTATTAAGGAGGGCACATGTGATGATGAGCACTGGGTGTTATTATACACAACTAATGAATCACTGAACACTACATCAAAAACTAATGATGTAGTGATGTAGTAATGATATGTTGGCTAATTGAACATAATAAAAAAATAAAATAAAAAGATAAACCCAAGTGTGATTGTTAAAAATAAATAAATAAAAAAGGAGTAAAATTAAAGTGTTAAATATTAATGTTCTAAGAAACATCAATTTTTTTTATTATCTATTTAGAGTACTATTAGTATGTGTTTGCTTAACCTAGTCCACAGTCACTTTTTGCTTTATCAGGACACTTTATGGTATGTTATTAATTTTTTTTCTTATCCCTTATTACTTGACCAAAATATTGCTTTGACCAAAATAGCACAGTAGAGAATATGTTGGTGCAGCACTGACTGGGAATGAGTCTTCTTGTCTTGTTTTCAGTGTGTTT